TGCTGACTTGCTGTCTGTCTGCCTGCCTGCCTGCCTGTCCATCTATTCAGCCATCATTAGGCACTGGCTCCTGTTGATTAAGAAATTCTTTGTCAGCAATGACAGGTCAGCTTGCACGGTCCTCAGAGGCAGGCCTTTCTGCACTCACTGCTGAACCACAGCATTAAAGACGGTGCCTAGCTGGGGCGAGCACTGTGTGGCATGGCATGTTAACCTGCTGCTCGGGATGCCAGCCTGCCATGCTGGAGCACTTATTTAACTCCCGGCTGTTCTTCTTCTGATCCAGCTCTCTGCTAACGCACCTGGGGAAGTGGCAGATCATGGCGCAAGTCTACGGGCCCCCGCCAGCCTGCCGCCCATGTGGGAGACCTGAATGCAGTTCTGGGCTCCAGGCTCCAGCCAGGCCTTGCCCCGGTTACTGCAGCTATTGGCAAAGTGAAGCAGCAGTTACAAGGATAGTCTCTTTCTCTCCTTCTGTTTTCCAAATAAATAATAAAATCTTTTTTAAAAAAGAAAGATTTATTTGGGCGTGGTGTAATGGCTAAATCCCCGCCTTGTTCTCGTGGGTCCCTCTAGCGGGGATGACCACGCCGAGAAGAATCAGGACACAGGGGATGCAGAAGCAAGATGAGGCAATGCACACTTAATTGAATCTTACTGGGCAACTTGTACCATAATTTTTGCAGGACAAGCAGGCAGATGAACGTTATTAGTTAACCAGACAATAGCATAGAAGCTACGCTAACAATAGATCACAAGGGATTTGGAAGAGTGACAGGAAACAATACCGATAAACAAACAGATCTAACTAGAAAAGGAATCTAACAGAACTTTGTACTCAGATACGTTTAGGCCACAGGCAAAAGAAAAACAAAGGAAGCTGGTGAAGCCGCCTCACAGCTGCCTGCACAATTCTCAGTCTGCTGAGAATGTTCGTCTGAGATTTGGGGTCCCTTGGGCATTTGGTGTCTGGCTTTTTTGGGGGTGAGGTTAGTCTTTCAACATCTTGTAAGGGCTGGGATCCCATACGGATACCGATTTATGTCCCAGCTGCTCCACTTCCCATCCAGCTCCCTGCTTGTGGCCTGGGAAAGCAGTCAAGGACGGCCCAAAGCCTTGGGACCCTGCACCTGCATGGGAGACCTGGAGGAGGTTCCTGGTTCCCGGCTTCAGACTGGTACAGCACCAGCCGTTGCGGTCAGCTGGGGAGTGAATCATCGGATGGAAGATCTTTCTCTCTCTCAATCTATCCTCCTCTCTGTATATCTGACTTTGTAATAAAAATAAATAAATATTTAGAAAAATAAAAGAAAAACATCTCAAGATAGGCATTGTTTCTACCTTCCAACTTTTTTTTTTTTAAATTTCCAGTCACCTAGCTACAAGGGATTACACCGAACCTGAATTTCTAATGAGAAGATAAGCTTCTCTTGCTTATCTTCACTGTAAGACTCTGCATGTACAAAGGCAATCTGCAGAGCGGGCTGACTCGTGCCCAAGTGTGAGTTCCTGACACGTGACTCCGAAGGAGCTCCAAGCCCAAATCACTCCTCACGGAAAACACTCACAGTTAGGACATTTTTGGCTGAAACGTCCAACGAGATAAAGAAAATGTAAAGATACTGAGTGATATTTATAGCAAAGGCATTTCAATGGGTCTGTATTACATTGTGTAACCACAGCTGGCTTAAATATATTTTGCATTCCGTTTATTTTGTGATGAGACTCTGTGGGCGTCACTGTCATGACCTCGACGTCAGGTGGCACTGGAGAGGAGGGGGAGGGCGTGGCTGGCGGTGCTGCTGGGCTGACCGTGGGAATGCAGCCTGTGCTGGTCCAAGCCACCTGCTCCTTAGCATCATACCGAGTGGCTGAGCAGCCCTCTCTCACATCCCTGCTCCTAGTCACCACGTGAGCTATACACAACACTGACACCTCCTGCCCTGCTTTCACTGCCTGGCACCCAGTTACATGTGTGCATGTGCTTATTTGAGAGGCAGACTGACAGAGAGAGAGAGAGAGAGAGAGAGAGAGAGAGAGAGAGAGAGAGAGCAAGTTCTTCCATCTGCTGGTTCATCTGCTGAATGGCCACACTGACCAGGGCTAGGCGAGGCTGAGGCTGGGAGCCTGGAATCCCATGCAGATCTCCCACGTCAGTGGCTGGTACTCAGGCCCCCCCTGCTATCTTCCCAGGCTCATTAGCAGGAAGTTGGACTGGAAGTGTAGCACAGTCGGGGCTCAATCAGCCACTCTGAAATGGACGTCATTGCCCAAAATGACAGCTCAACTCAGTGTGGACAATGACCCAGCCACCTAGGTTCTCTCTCTGCACCTAGCTGAACAGAGATGCTCTGGCCTATGATGTCGGCCCCAGAACATGCTCCTCTCCGATCACTTCAAGGCTATGTATTCTAAATGGTCTCCCTGGGAACTGTTGGCAGTTCCGTCTGGGGATGCCTTGGCAACGTGCTGTTTGCTTCCCTCTACTGAAGTCACCAAGGACATCCCGTGACCATCAGCACCAGGTCGGTCCTCCTGAAGTGGCGTTTCCTTCTTGTTGTGTGCTGTTGACAGACCCGCGGGTGGACCTGAGTTGTGCCGCTTGTCCGGGACACATTCTCGGTTGCTCCCCTGAACGTGGGGGGCGACCGGAGAGGACCTGCCCCATGGGGGAGAATGAAGACAGAATCCACATGGAGGGCTCGGTGCTGGGGTGTAGCTGGGATCCCCCCTGGGACATGTAAGGGCCATCACTGTGACACAGATGCGATCCCAGCCAGAGACGCAGGTGAAACTTACACTCTGAACCTTCTAACTGTGACCTGGAAGTTGTTTTTCTTAATATTTCACCTTTAATCCCATATCCTATTTCCCATAACCCTGCCATCCATTTCCCTCTATCACCATCTAGTCTGAAGGACACCTCTCAATCTTATCTGGAATAAAAGTAAACAACCAAAACAAACAGCAGATACTGGGCCACCAGGTTTTTCTGGAAGACAGGACAACACCCTGAGGGCGTTTCCCTGGGGCCTTAACTACCCACAGACTGCTTGGTCTGCACACCTGCCACTTTCCCTAAAAGAAGGATGTTACTCCTACTCCTCAGAAGCAAATTTTGTTCACGTAAACAAAAAAAAGTCCAAAAAATTGCAATCCTTTGGAAAGGTGAGATCAATTAACCAGTTAGTCAATCACTTCTCCTAAATGTGCGTCTTTATAGATTGGAGAGGTCCCAGTCTGGGTGTGAGGGCTGAACAGAATGTTCCAGCCCACGACTTTCCCTGGCTTATGAGTCACGTGCCCACAAACGATGACGAGGCCCCATTTCACACGGGGCCCCGTAAGGTTCAAATGGGGCCCTGTAAGGTAAGCCCGTGGAGCTGTGCCCAGCGCCGAGGCATACCAGCCCCAGTCAAATGGAGCAGGGAATAACATTGAAATAACATTTGGATTTAAATGACCCACAGTTGCCAGGAGCACAAAGCCAGTCAAAACTGAGAAATAAGTTTTAATGGCTACTTGGTCAAACTTTCAACTATACTCCTATGACGTCACATTTAAAGAATATCTTTGTAGCAGATAAATATGACATTAAAATCATGACAGAAGCTAACAGGCACGGTCGAAGTTTGCAGTTTTGAAAGTGGGGGGCCCTATCCGTTGGACTCCTTTCTCTAAAACAAATGTGGGCACACCTGGCACTTTATCCACTTAAAGACGGTACATGGCTTTACATATACTTGAGAAACAAAAGAAAAAAAGTATCAGGAGAGAAGAAGCTGTTGTCCGATTCTAATGGCCTTTACAACAAATGCAGCAGCAGTATTTTTAATACATTAGAAACTGAATGTGTCCGGCCCAACACCTATTGGCTAAAGTGGCCTATTGGCTAAAGTCCTCGCCTTGAACACTCTGGGATCCCATATGGGCGCTGGTTCTAATCCCTGCAGTCCCGCTTCCTATCCAGCTCCCTGCCTGTGGCCTGGGAAAGCAGTGGAGGACGGCCCAAAGCCTTGGGACCCTGCACTTGCACGGGAGACCCAGAAGAGCTCCTGGCTCCTGGCTTGGGATTGGCACAGCTCTGGCCATTGTGCTCACTTGGGGAGTGAATCATGGAAGATGATTTCTCACTGTCTCTCCGTATATCTGATTTTGCAATAAAAATAAATAAATCTTAAAAAAAAAAAAGAAATAGAGATCTCCTATCAAAAAAAAAAAAAAAGAAAGAATGAAAGAAAGAAAGAAATTAAAAGTGTCAAAACAGCCTAATGTTTCCGCTTGCTTGTATGGAGCCTGGATCTACCCGGAGCTGCCCTTGTTTCCTCGGCTGTCTTACTGCCTTACGTGGTGTGCGACTATCTGATCTCTAAGCGGTTCCCTCATACATGCTAAGCTTTGACTGTGAACACCCAGGATAAACCAACTGGCCCTTTTTATTCTTCTAGGCTCATGACATAATATACTAGATTCAAAAAAAAAAAATTCTAAAACGCCAGTTTAGGGGTCTCCAGGAAGTTAATTATTAACCATTAGTGACATTAAAATATTTATATGCCTTTTAGTTCTGCTTAATTGAATTTGGTGGAAAGGACGGTAATGGAGGCAGTGCCTTTCTGAGCATACAACAGCTTAATTGGTTAATCTGAAAAAAAAAATGTGATTTTAGACACAGCCTTCTACTGAGGCCCTTTCGGATGGGTTTTCAAATCCTAGGTGCATGGGGCGCCACCACCTTCAAGCACCCCAAAGACCATGCACACCCCCACCCCCCCAAATCACAAAGACCTAACATGGAGGTGACTCTCACTAAAGAAGCCCCGGGTCTTGGGTGCATCTGAAGTGCTGGGCGGCGCATGTCGGTTAGAGGGGAGCCATGCAGCCATCGGCCACCAATGGGGTCCTGGGCAGGTGTGAAGGCACAGTTCTGGGGCCTGACGAGGAGGGACAGGCAGACGCAGGCTCTCTAAAACACAGGGAATTCGCAGCTGTGACTTTACCTGATCTGCCCACGGACCAGAGGCCTGTTCTTCGTTCGATTCATGTTGGAGTCAAACGGCACCTCAAAGAACTGTTAAGAGTAAAAGAAGACAAAAAAAAAAAAAATGAGGTCAATAGTGTGAAGCAACTCTGAGGCTGCAGGGCTGAGAAATTTCCCACAGTGAACTTCACTTCACTTTGGGTGGGATAAATCAATACTTTGGCCCTTTTTGGAGAAAAATTTTCTAGAAAAGACAAAACCAAACCAACCAACCAAACAAACAAACAAGATCCAAAACCAATATGCATTGTCAGGAATCCCTATCCACCTTGAAAACCCCTTGCTAAGTAGTTTTACATTCCTTGGGGCTACGGTTTCAGGGCTTAAAGTCCCAGAATCTTACACACAGGATCCCAAGGCCTGTGACTCAGCCACGAGCCAGGCAACCCTGGGAACAGGCTCCTGAGGCCAGGCTCTGTGACTGCAGGCACCTGCGGAGTCCAGGCTGCTGAGGGTGGTCACCTTGTCCTCCCCGGGACACTCGGAGTTGACCTCCATCATACTCAAAGTGTCCCAGCTTGGACAACGCCCTGGCATGGTCACCCTGCTCATGAAGTACAGCTTTTACTGTTTAGCTACTAAAGGGCAAAGCCAGGGGCATGATGAAGAATTCATTTTCCAAATCTTTAACTGTACCATGTGTTCTTAAATTGGCTAGCAATGGCTCATGTCATGTCACAGCGGTCGAAACTCGGATCGGGTCATTTATTGGAAAGTACCTCTCACTACACCAGGAGAGGCAGAGAGAATTCAGGAGAAGTGCTAAGCTGGTATTTCCCCGACTATGTTCCCAGCAACCCAACCCGATGGCCACGCTGTGATAGTGATGACAAAGTTTCTGGAAATTCCAAAGTGAAGAAATCCAATATTACTCAGGCACAGTTTCCCAAAGGCTTGACCATGGAACCTTTTCTTAAGAAAAACATATCTAAGAGATTGCAGAAATATCTGATCTGAGTTTATTCAAGGGACCGGGCTCATTTCTTGCACGGGTCTGCAGAAATCATGGCTCACTGTGTAATTCCATGTGGTTAGTAAGTTCACTAGTGGCAAGAAGACAGTCTGGAAATAAGTGACATTGTATTTCGTACTTCATAAGTGATCTAGAAGTACCTACTAGGAAGCATTAATAAATATTTACATATTTGAGAGAGAGAGAGAGAGAGAGAGAGAGAGAGAGAGAGAGAATGTCCCACACTCAGGCTCACTCCCAGAATGCTTGTAACAGCTGGGGTTCGGTCAGGCCACAGCCTGGAGGTGACAATTCTACTCACATCTCGCACACGTGCAGCACAGCCCCCAGCACACTAGCTCTTGCCCACTGCCCGTCTCGGGGTGCCCGCGGGCGGGGAGCTTGAAGGGACACCCGAGTCCAGACTTGGAACCAGGGATCCTGATAGGGGATACAAGTCTTTCAAAGCGTAGCTGAACTGCTCTGCTGGACACTCATCTTACTCAGCGTTACAAATGAATGAAAAACTTATCTGAACTATTTGAGAAATGTTCTGCTACCAGACTGCTTCTAGTTTCCATTTTCAAAAAATGTTTTTAATAGGGCCCAGCACGATAGCCTAGTGGCTAAAGTCCTCTCCTTGCACGCACCGGGATCCCATATGGGTGCCAGTTCTAATCCTGGTGGCCCCGCTTCCCATCCAGCTCCCTGCCTGGAGCCTGGGAAAGCAGTCGAGGATGGCCCAAAGCCTTGGGACCCTGCACCCGCGTGGGAGACCTGGCAGAGGCTCAGGGCTCCTGGTTTTGGATTGGTGCAGCTCCGGCCATGGTGGCCACTTAGGTAGTGACTCATCAGACGGAAGCTCTTCCTCTCTATCTCTCCTCCTCTCTGTGTATCTGACTTTCCAATAAACGTGAATAAATCAATCTTTAGAAAAAAACGTTTTTAATAATAGTCCCTACCTTCCAATACAACTACATGTATTTTTTCCCTCCTTGCTTTTGGGTTCTTGAATCCCCTTCCGGTTCTCCGGGTAGCTGTTCATGGTGGAGAGTCCCCGTCACCTACAGGAAGTTTCCACAGGTCCTCCCACCTTTTTGTTGAGTCAGTTCCAGCTCATTTAGCCAGTGGGCAGGACAGCTGGAATTCTCAGACCTTTACAATCATACCACACGCCAATAACAGCTACTGTGACGACGTTAAGAGGGTACTTGCTGTATCTAAGGATCGCAGAAGTTCTTCCTGTGAGGGGCTGATCGCCTCACCTCACTTCCCATGGGGGTGATCGCCTCACCTCGCTTCCCATGGGGGCTGATCGCCTCACCTCGTTTCCCATGGGAGTGATCACCTCACCTCACCTGCTCCTAACTGAAGTCCTGGCCAGGGATCATTCCCCGGCTGGCTTTTCTGGACTGGCGTGTGTCACAAGCGACAGTGGCAGTTGTTGGTTCTGCTTTTTACCCACTGCGGAGGATCCCATCGGACTGGCACGTCGTAAAATCAACCTCGTGCAGACAGATGTCAGGGGGTCTCCTATCATTCTGTATTCCATCCTCGAGCACGTGGCTGTGTGTATGCGCGTGTGTTTGTACAGGACCAATCGCCAGGACCACCCTCCTTTGACGTAGCAGGGTTCTTCTGACCCTACACTCATGTCCCCGTGCGTCTCTTCACGCTCACTATCCACCCAAGTCGATACAAGGACCTCCGTATCTACTGTGCGACACGCAGCGGATACACGCAGCACTTCCAAGAAACGCTTACTTTAAAGGGGGCACAAATCACAGTGCGTGGGCCCACCCACCCTGTACAGGGTTTTTTTTTTTTTTTTTTGTAATTTTGTTTGGATTTCTTTTTCTTAAAAGGTTGGAAAAATCCAACAGTGATAGTCTGTGACATTAGTCCTGGTGAGGTCTGCCTGTCTGTGCATCGCCACAGCTGCCTTCACGGCACATGAGCATGCTGGGCTGTTGCAACAGGCACCCTGTGCCCACGAGGCCTTAAGTGTTTACTGGGTGGCTTTCCGCAGAAGAAGTCTGCCAACCTTTAATCCGTCAGAAAGACTGAACTATGCTAACATGGTTAATTACAAGAATAGGTACATGAGAGTAAGCGGGAGACATGCGGAGGATTATGGGAGCCGCGAGCCGAGGGACCTGGCACAGAGGCAAGGGAGAACCTTCCTGCAAGCATTCCCAGCCTGGGGCTTGGTGACTCAGCAAGAGCTGAATGCCTAAGACAACAGCAGAGGGAGGAGCATTCCAGACACAAAAGGGAAACAAGGGGGTTGGTGCTGTGACTTCCCAAGGAAAAGCCCCTGCTTGCAACGCCAGGGTCCCATCTGGCCGCCAGTTCAAGTCCTGGCTGCTCCACTTCGGATGTAGCTCCCTGCTGATGCGCTTGGGAAAGAAGCAGAGGATGGCCCAAGTCCTCGGAAGAAGTGATTGGCTCCCGGCTTCCAAGTGACCCAGCCCCTAGCAATCACAGCCAGTGGCTGTGATTCCAGTGGCTGGAAGATCCTCCCCCTCTTCTTTTACGGAAGCGTGCCTTTCAAATAAATAAAACCTATTAAGAAACAAAAAGAAGACCAAAGGCAGAAATGGGAGGCAGAGAAACCTGAGCACATGTCTGAGTTGCTGGAGATACAGTATACTATTAATGTCGTGAGGGTAGGCTTTATGGTTTGAGAAGTCAAGGTTACGTGCTACATTTCCCATTTACTAGTTACTATATAATTCGTATTTGAAAAAAAGGGCCTGGTGCAGTAGCCTAGTCTTTTGATCATGTCAGGATCCCATATGGGTGCCAGTCCTAATCTTGGATACCCCACTTCCAGTCCAGCTCTCTGCTTGTGGCCTAGGAGGGCAGTTGAGGACAGCCCAAACCCTTGGGACCCTGCACCTGCGTGGGAGACCTGGAAGAGGTTCCTGATTCCTGGCTTCGGATCGGTGCAGCACCGGCCGTTGTGGCCACTTGGGGAGGGAACCAGTGGATGGAAGATCTTCCTCTCCGTATATCCACCTTTGTAATAAACAATAAATAAAAATCTTAAAAAAAAATCACTTTTCTGAGGTGTAGGAGGAGGACAGCAATATACCAACCTGTAAAGTTGGCGTAAGTCCTGATTGCGACGACGCCCCCAAAGCACGGGCGTGACATGGAGAGAGTGCTCAACAAGGACCCTGTTTCCTACCAGTGTTGGTACATGACTGGGAGCTGGGAGGATGCTCCGGAGGCCCAGAAGGAGTCAGCCGCGGGGAGCCCGTGCTGTGACCCCTGCCGCGGACAGGGAGGGAGACCAGCATCCCCCATCACCCCATAACACAAAGGGCCTTGGCCAACTGTAGACCCCACCCTGTTTCCGCTCTCCTGCTTTTCCATGAAACCGTTATGTGTGCAACCGACATTCATTTTGCAATTTTACCTGATTGCTGTTTCTTTTTTCATCTGTATGTTTTAACACAATAATAATTAAAAAAAAACTTCATGTGTTTCAAATGGAACGCAACAAAATTTGTCCAAATATCAGGTACCTCTTCCAAGTTCTCAGCCTAGGTTAAAAAAAAAACAAACATCTTCACACCACTTTGCTTTGATTCCAACCACTGACTGGCTAACTCCATCCAACTCATCACCAAGTTCTGCTGACTTGGTTCTTTGGGATTTATACGCTGTCTTCCATTTATCCTGCCTGGTGTTTTCCATGGTAGCCACAATGAATTCACAACAAAATTATCTGCTCCAAAAAACTGAGTGATCACCTTGCTCGTAATGGCCCAAAGAGGGCTGAAAGTCCAGACTGAATCATACTGTTGAGAAGCCATCCTTACTGTAGCCCCAGAACCTCCAACCTTCTCACCTGGTCACTCACTGCCTTCAGAACGCAGTCAGCTGCCCAGGGAGCTGGAGGCTTAGCCAGCTGCTGATTCAGAGACTGGAAGACATATTTTGGGCATGGAGGCTGAATTTTCTCAGCAGTAAATAATAATAATTCTTTCATCTGCAGGAGTTGCAAGGAAGATTCACAAACAACCCAACACATCATAAACAGTTTCTGCTCATTTTTCACCTGCGTCTG